TCTGAAAGGTTGATTTAAGACATTTTAAGGCTAATTAAGGCCATATTTTTGGATTGATGAATTCAATGCCTTTTAAGGCTTTTTAAGGATCTGCAGGTACCCTGCTGTAACTCACTGCTGTGCAGTGGCTTCAAACAGAAAAATTTTTTTAAATAATAAACTCTCACCTCTCCTTTTTTGACACCCGTGGACTGGCGCCTTGACGTCTCCTCGTTGATGCTGGACAGAAAGTTCTGAGAGATCCGCAAGGCGTCCTGCAGGAGCGGGTGGTCCGGGTGACTGGTGGGTGTGTGTTTGAGCAAATCCTGAACAAACGAAGAAGCATTTAAGTAAAATAAAAAAACAAATATACCTAGGTAGAAAACAAAAAAAAAGACACATTTACAGGTTTCATTTTTAAACATACAAATCAAACATGGGTTTAAAATAAAAAGTTGGAATAAAATAAYTGTTTTATTACTTACATGTAACACCAGTGTGCTGCGGGTCACCCGGTCCACTGGTTTATAAAGCAAAGCTTCAAACAAAACAAAACATAATCCAGGCTGAAAACTTCATTCGACTGATCTATTATAACATGAAGTAAGTAAAAATACAGATTTATGTTAGAATTTGAAGAAACTAATGTTATGACTGACCCTCTAGAGAGTTCTTGGTAGTCTCCTTACAATCCTTTGGGCTTCTCACCTTCAGGTTCTGTTTGGATGGAGAAAGACACCAGCACAACCAGCTTTAAAAAACAAAAAAACTCCAAAAAGCATCAGAGTAAGCAACATAAAAGCACGTCGAGGTCTCTATGTTTGCTCAAGCATTGAGGTCATCGACTTCCAGATTAATTATGCCATCCTCAGCAGTTCCACCCCTCCCACCATCATCCTCAGATGGCTCAGAGTCATGCATCATTACTTAGACCATTAACAACCAGCCACCATGAATTCCGTCTTCGACGTGCGGATATCTGCCTCGCGCTGACTGGCAGGACTTGGAAAACCTAGTCCAAGACCGACGTGTTGCTTGAAAATGAAAAAAAAAAAAACACGCACAATTTTCCTGAGCTAAGCCAGCAGAGCTGGCTGGAAATCAGATTTATTTTCAGCCCACTTCACAAAATAACAAATAAAAACATTAATTTTTGCATTTTTGTAACCGAACAACTGCAGATAAACTTTAGACAACGGCCTGTCTCAGTTATGGTTCAAACCATTAGAATTTATGATCGAGTCATTTTAGAGACTTGATGTTAGTCGTCAAGTCACGGCCAAGTGAGATGCTGCTTTTACTGCGAGAAAAACATACAGAACGGCCTTATAAACAGTTCTCCAGTAAAGTGATTTACAGATAACTAACAATAAAGACAAAATACACACGCTAAACAGCTCATGGTTGGATTTCTAAAGAACAATTTAGTAGAACATTAAATTTTAAAAGCGTGGATTTTATGAAAGATGTGCAGATGGCAGAGTGTATTTTAAATGTACATCAGGGACAAAAAAAAGAATAAAGCAGCACTGAGATGTTTTGGGAAGTTTCTCTTTAACGTCTGAAATGTTAAATCAATATTAAATTATTCATCTTTTGTTGTTTCAGACAATTCGAAACCTCAAATGTCACACCTGGGATAACTTTAACTGGGCTTTTGTTTGTTTTCCTTTCAATTCCGTGAAGACAAAGAAAAAAAAAACATTTTTGCAAAACTGAAGATTGAATAAACATTAAACTCTTCTCGTCTCAGGTTTACCTCAGAGATTTCAGAGAACTGCGCGTTGGCCTGGCAGCACTTTTCCGCCGTCTCCACAGCCAGCTCGTAGTTGTCCAGGAAGGCCCGATAAACTCCCAGCTGGCTAGCCTGGTGGACAGCAGGGACACAGGGCACAGAGAGAAAAGGATGACATCGTTTTAAAATGTTTGCCGAAGAGAAAACAGCTGATTATATTGCACCAACAGTAAGTCTGCAAAGTTTACATCGACCTTTAAAAGGCTAAAATGCAAAACGGAGACGCGTAATTCTTGCAATTTTAGATTCGAGGCAAACAAATTTCGACCAGTCAGCAGAGCTGAAGAAACTGACCTGCAAAACAAGCAGCGGGAGGAGAGAGMGAGAGAGAGAGAGGCGGATCAAAACAACGGCGTTTAGCTGCAGCCATCCTAGCTCCCCCGTTGTCATAGCAACTACAAAGACCCCCGCACTGTGCTGGGTCGAGTAATTAACGACTGGTGTAACCGAGGCTATGATAGCACATTTAGGAAGCTGGATGACGGAATTACATTCCAGCAAAACGCCGTCTGTCAGCCCCGGGATTCATCTCAGCGCAGAACAAAAGGACAATCAACTCTGCCGAACAAAAGCCGA